AGTAAGATCTATTGGCAACCATGAAGGGACCTCCAAGGCAGTAATATTGGACCACTTTTGCTTGCTCTTCTGTCCTATCCTTCCTTAGAATTGGAGGAAAATACTGGGCATCTGTCGGCCAGTTAAAAATGATTAGCGTGGCCGCCTCACCTAAGACTCAGCTATAAGGCTGTCTGGGAAAGGGCTTTCTAACAACCCCCAACCCTTCTGGGTTGGGAGCGTTGGTCTGCCTGGAACCAGCTTCTGCTTTCAGTTTTCCTGGGGAAGCTGAGGGCTGACTAGAGGCAGAAAACCGTCATCCCAAACTCCCGACGTTAGCCAGTTGAGATCATGGCTCAGTCAGAAGTCTCTACTCAACAGTCACCCATGCGTGCGCCCCTACCTTTCCTTCTGACCCATACCTCCTGGGTCCCAAGCATGACTTTCTTAAAAGTGTAGCCCCAAAATTCTCCTTACCTCTGAATCTACTTCCTCTGATCCCTGCCTCCTAGGTACTGATGCTTCAGACTTTCACTTCCTCTCCCAAGTATTAGAGCAGGTTGTATCTCCAAAGGGATCTAAGGCAGCTCTATGCTGTGTCCTTAGGCATCTAGGCTATGAACCCAGGGAGTTTTGTCCCTGGTGTCCCTCCCAATTTAGGCATACAGCTTTCTACATGGGCAGTTATGTGGGACCTGTTCCCCACCACCCTTGCCAGGGCCCCAAGTTTATAAATGGCTAGGAGGATTGCTCTTCCATTGTGTGAGATGCTCTCCTCCCCTGATTTCTACCCATCTTACCCCTCTGTGATACAATCTCCAAGCCTTGGCTCATTGGCCAGGGCCTTAGAACTGATGACCCAGTACTTTAACAACTGGAACTGGGTCTACAACAACATAATAGATCAAGATGGAAGTGAATTGAGCAAGTCAAGGAGAGAAGAGAGAGATAGAGAGAAAAAAGAGAGGGAGAGAGAGAAAAAGAGAGATAAATGTAGTAAAGAAAAAACAGTGTGCCCTATTCCTTTAAAAGCCAGGATTAATTTAAAACCTATAATTGATCATTGAAGGTCTTCTCTATGACCCTATAACACTCCAATATTGCCTTGTTGTCAGTGTAAACAAGGGCGTAGGCTGAAAACACTGAGACCACAGTAGCCTTCCTATCAAAAATCCTTAACCCAGCAACCCACAAATGGCCCAAATGCATTCAATCTGTAGCAGCAACTGCTTTGCTAACAGAAGAAAGTGAAAAGTAACTTTTTTTTTTTTTTTTTTTGAGACGGAGTCTTGCTCTGTCACCCACGCTGGAGTCCAGTGGCGTGATCTCGGCTCACTGAAAGCTCTGCCTCCCGGGTTCACGCCATTCTCCTGCCTCAGCCCCCTGAGTAGCTGGGACTAACAGGCGCCCGCCACCAGGCCCGGCTAATTTTTTTTTTGTATTTTTAGTAGAGACCGAGTTTCACCTTGTTGGGCAGGATGGTCTGGATCTCCTGACCTCATGATCCACCCATCTTGGCCTCCCAAAGTGCTGGGATTACAGGCGTGAGCCACTGCGCCCAGCCTAGAAAAGTAACTTTTAGAGGAAACCTCATTGTGAGCACACCTCACCAGTTCAGAATGATTCTAAGTCAAAAAAGCAAAAAGGTGGCTTACTAACTCAAAAATCTTATAAGTATGGGGCTATTCTGTTAGAAAAAGGTGATTTAACATTAACCACTGAAAATTCCCTTAACCCAGCAGATTTCCTAACAGGGGATTTAAATTTTAATTACCATCAAAGTTCTGACCAGACCTAGGAGGAACTCCCTTCAGAACAGAACTATAGATGGCTCCTCCCAGGATTGAGGAAAAACACAATGGGTATTCAGTAATTGACAAGGAGACTCTTGTGGAAGCAGAGTTAGAAGAATTGCCTAATTGGTCTGCTCAAATGTGGGAGCTGTTTGCCCTCAGCCAAGCCTTAAAGTATTTACAGAATCGAAAAGACTCTATCTCAATCCTGACTCAAAAGGTTACCGACACCCTCTCTGAAGCGAATTTGCGTAAGAACTGTTGTTTATGGGAATGCATCTTGATGGGGCAGCTGGGTTGTTACGAAATACTCAGGAACCCAGTCCAGCTCTAGAACTTGCCTCTGAGCACAAAGGCAATGTTGGGCACGCTGGTAAAGGACTAGAATCCAGCAGCCCAGACCCATTTGTGGTTAAGAAAGGCGAGAAAAGGCGTGCAGGACTGCTACATCAGTGATCGTAACTAATCCGATAAGCAGAGGTCCATGGGTGGTGACGCACCCTGGAAAGGAATAAGCATTAGGACCATAGAGGACGCTCTAGGACTAATGCTCATCAGAAAATGACTAGGGGTGCCGGCATCCCTATGTTTTCTTTTCAGATAGGAAACATTCCCCCCAAGGCAAAAATGCCCCTAAGATGTATTCTGGAGAATTCGGCCCAGAGTGTATGTACCTTTTTCCCTGTCAGACTTGAAGCAAATTAAAATAGACCTAGGTAAGGTTGGGCGCGGTGGCTCACTCCTGTGATCCTAGAACTTTGGGAGGCCGAGGCGGGTAGATCACGAGGTCAGGAGATCGAGACCATCCTGGCTAACAGGTTGAAACTCCGTCTCTACTAAAAACACACGCACACACAAAAATTAGCCAGGCATGGTGGCGGGCACCTGTAGTTCCAGCTACTCGGGAGGCTGAGGCAGGAGAATGGCGTGAACCCTGGAGGCGGAGCTTGCAGTGAGCCAAGATCGAACCGCTTCACTCCACCCTGGGCAACAGAGTGAGCGTCCATCTCAAAAACAAAAACAAAAAACAGACCTAGGTAAACTCTCACATAACCCTGATGGCTATATTGATGTTTTACAAGGGTTAGGACAATCCTTTGATCTGACATGGAGAGATATAATGTTACTGCTAGATCAGACACTAATCCCAAATGAGAGAAGTGTCGCCATAACTGCAGCCTGAGAGTTTGGTGATCTCTGGTATCTGAGTCAGGTCAATGATAGGATGACAAGAGGAAAGAGAACAATTCCCCACAGGCCAGCAGGCAGTTCCCAGTGTAGACCCTCACTGGGACGCAGAATCAGAACATAGAGATTGGTGCCGCAGACATTTACTAACTTGCGTGCTAGAAGGACTAAGGAAAACTAGGAAGAAGCCTATAAATTATTCAGTGATGTCCACTATAACACAGGGAAAGGAAGAAAATCCTACTGCCTTTCTGGAGGGATTAAGGGAGGCATTGAGGAAGCATACCTCCCTGTCACCTGACTCTACTGAAGGCCAACTAATCTTGATAAGTTTATCACTCAGTCAGCTGCAGACATTAAAAAAAAACTTCAAAAGTCCGCCTTAGTTCTGGAGCAAAACTTAGAAACCCTACTTGAATTTGGCAACCTCAGTTTTTTATAGTAGAGATCAGGAGGACCAGGCAGAACAGGACAAATGAGATAAGAAAAAGGCCACCGCTTTAGTCATGGCCCTCAGGCAAGCAGACCTTGAAGGCTCTGGAACATGGAAAGGCTGGGCAAATCGAATGCCTAATAGGGCTTGCTTCCAGTACGGCCTACAAGGACACCTTTTTTTTTTTTGAGACAGAGTCTTGCTCTGTCGCCCGGGCTGGAGTGCTGGAGTGCAGTGGCACGATCTCGGCTCACTGCAAGCTCCGCCTCCCGGGTTCACGCCATTCTCCTGCCTCAGCCTCCTGAGTAGCTGGGACCACAGGCACCCACCACTACGCCCGGCTAATTTTTTGTGTTTTTTAGTAGAGACGTGGTTTTACTGTGTTAGCCAGGATGGTCTCGATCTCCTGATCTCATGATCCACCCGCCTCGGCCTCCCAAAGTGCTGGGATTACAGACGTGAGCCACCGCGCCTGGCCAAGGACATTTTTAAAAAGATCGTCCGAATAGAAATAAGCTGCCTCCTGTTGATGCCCCTTATGTCAAGGGAATCACTGGAAGGCCCACTGCTCCAGGGGATGAAGGTCCTCTGAGTCAGAAGCCACTAACCAGATGGATCCAGCAGCAGGACTGAGGGTGCCCAGGGCAAGTGCCAGCCCATGCCGTCACCGTCACAGAGCCCCATGCTTGACCATTGAGGGCCTGGAGGTTAACTGTCTCCTTGTCACTGGCACGACCTTCTCAGTCTCACTCTCCTGTCCCGGACAACTGTCCTCCAGATGTGTCACTATCCAAGGGGTCCTAGGACAGCCAGTCACTAGATACTTCTCCCAGTCACTAAGCTGCGACTGGGGAACTTTACTCTTTTCACATGCTTTTCTAATTATGCCTGAAAGCCCCACTCCCTTGTTAGGGAGAGACATTCTAGCAAAAGCAGGGGCCACTATACACTAGAATTAGAAGGAAAAAGGATAAATGTATATACAGACTCAAAGTATGCTTACCTAGTCCTCCATGCCCATGCAACAATACAGAGAGAAAGGGAATTCCTAACTTCTGAGGGAACACCTATCAAACATCAGGAAGCCATCAGGAGATTATTATTGGCTATACAGAAACCTAAAGAGGTGGCAGTCTTACACTGCCGGGTCATTAGAAAGGAAAGGAAAGAAGAAATAGAAGGGAATCGCCAATCAGATATTGAAGCCAAAAGAGCCGCAAGGCAGGACCCTCCATTAGAAATGCTTATAGAAGAACCCCTAGTATGGGGTAATCCCCTCCGGGAAACAAGCCCCAGTACTCAGCAGGAGAAATAGAATGGGGAACCTCACGAGGACATAGTTTCCTCCCCTCAGAATGGCTAGCCACCGGAGAAGGAAAAATACTTTTGCCTGCAGCTAACCAATGGAAATTACTTAAAACCCTTCACCAAACCTTTCACTTAGGTATTGATAGCACCCATCAGATTGCCAAATTATTATTTACTGGACCAGAGTTTTTCAAAACTATCAAGCAGATTGTCAGGGCCTGTGAAGTGTGCCAAAGAAATAATCCCCTGCACTACAGGCCATACATTTCAATCCCTGTATCTTTAACCTCCTTGTTAAGTTTGTTTCTTCCAGAATCGAAGCTGTAAAACTACAAATGGTTCTTCAAATGGAGCCTCCGATGCAGTCCATCACTAAGATCTACTGCGGACCCCTGGACCAGCCTGCTAATCCATGCTCTGATGTTGGTGACATCGAAGGCACCCCTCCCGAGGAAATCTCAACTGCATGACCCCTACTACGCCTCAGTTCAGCAGGAAGCAGTTAGAGCAGTCATCAGCCAACCTCCTCAACAGCACTTGGATTTTCCTGTTGTAAGGGGGGACTGAGAGACAGGACTAGCTGGATTTCCTAAGCCAACTAAGAATCCCTAAGCCTAGCTGGGAAGGTGACTGCATCCATCTTTAAACACGGGGCCTGCAATTTAGCTCACACCCGATCAATCAGGTAGTAAAGAGAGCTCACTAAAATGTTAATTAAGCAAAAACAGGAGGTAAAGAAATAGTCAATCACCTATCGCCTGAGAGCACAGGAGGAGGGACAATGATTGGGATATAAACCCAGGCCTTCGAGTCAGCAATGGCAACCCCCTTTGGGTCCCCTCCCATTTTATGGGAGCTCTGTTTTCACTCTATTAAATCTTGCAACTGCACACTCTTCTGGTCCGTGTTATGGCTTGAGCTGAGCTTTTGCTTACGGTCCACCACTGCTGTTTGCTGCTGTCACAGACCCACCACTGACTTCCACCCCTCTGGATCTGGCAGGGTGTCCGCTGTGCTCCTGATCCAGCTAGGCACCCATTGCTGCTCCCGATCAGGCTAAGGCTTGCCATTGTTTCTGCATGGCTAAGTGCCTGGGTTTGTCCTAATTGAGCTGAATAGAGCTATAACACTCACTGCATAGCCTAAGATTCCATTCCTTGGAATCTGGGAGGCCAAGAACCCCAGGTCAGAGAACAAGAGGCTTGCCACCATCTTGGAAGCGGCCTGCCACCATCTTGGGAGTTCTAAGAACAAGGACCCTCCCCATAACAATTGTGCTTGCTTTATTTGGTCTTCCTGGTTCCCCTCTGAGACAAGCTTTTTTATTTTTTGTAGAGACAGAGTCTTGCTGTGTTGCTCAGACTGGTTTTGAACTCCTAGCCTCAAATAATCCTCTCACCTTGACCTCCCAAGTATTGGGATTACAGGTGTGAGCTACCCTGCTCAGCCCCTCTGAGATAAGCTTTAATATCCCCATTTCAAAATGAGTAAACTGAGGTTTGGAGTGGGTAAAGTGGTTCATTCATTCCTTCGTTCATTCATCTATCTATTCATTTATTCCACAGACATCTGATTTAGCAGCTATCCTACATCAGACAGGCTGACTCTGGGCATACGAAGATGATTAAGACAAAAATCCCTGTCCTCACAGTCCAGAATGAAGGACAGACACATAAAGATAAGTATAATACAAGATGGATCATGAATTGTAGCTAATATTTATTGGGTACTTACTAAGTGCCAGTGACTGCTGTAAGCTCTTGGTGTGTTTTACCCCTTCAGTTCTCCCCAACCTCTGTTAGGTACATGTCTCATAGATTGATTCATAGATAAGACTGAAGCCTGGTGATTGCCTGCGGTTTTATAAGTAACAAATGGCACAGCCAGGATGAATACCCAGTGGATGGGTATTAGTGCCAGAGGTCCCACTTGGCCATCAAGCTCTACCGTCTCTTGATGATAAAGTAGCACACGGGGCCGTAAGTGGGTGGGGGAGGCTAACTCAGTCTGGCGTTCACGGTGTTCAGGGGAGATTTCCTGAAAGACTAAGGAATTAGCTAGACAGAGGTGAGTTGGGGGGAGGCAGGGCCATCGCAGGGGAGGGCCAGACGTGGGAGCCACCTCCCGGAAATCTACACAGCATCTAGGCCAGGCAGGGACCGGAGCGTGTTTGGAAGGTGCAGAAGCAGGCAGGACCCAGCCTCGAAAGGAAAGTGGTCCGTATCCTAGAGATAGCTGCAAGTTTGAAGGGTTTTACGCAGGGGAGAGACTTGGTCAGATTTTTAGAAAGATCAGCGGTAAGCGGGGTGAAAGTGGATGGAAGGACAGAGACAAGCACTGAGGCAGTGAGTGGGGAGGAGAGGAGAAATTCAGGAAGTCGAGTTTTCCCGATGATGGTTATTCGGGGGTTAAGTAGAGGACAGGGAGCAGTTCTAGAGGACACCCAGCTTCTGCTCCTAATCAGGGGGATTGGGGTGATCAGATGAGGTCAGTATTGGATGTCAACCCAATCTTCTGGCGTCCAGTCCGTGCCCTTTTGCCTCTTGGCACTGCCAGCAATAATGCCCGAGGGCCACCTGTGAACCGGGCTCGCAGCCTCCAACCCCACCCCTCCGACGGCTGCGACGTGCAGTGTATCACTCTGGGCACCAGGGGGCGTGCCCGCACACGCTCGGGCCGCTCTGGCCCAGCCCATCTCAGTGGTCGCGGAAGGTGACGTGGACACGGAAGTGGTCGTCGTCGCGGCACCGGTGGGAGCTAGGCACGGGGCTGGGAGTGCGGCCGGCAGGCGGACGGGCGGAGGCGGTCTCGCACCGGCGGCGACGGAAGGCTCAGGCGTCGTTGTTTGGGTGGGGGGCCGCTGAACTGACAAGCGGCATTTCAGCTCCTTTCACCCGCCAGTCGGAACCCCCGAGTCGGGGCCCGCTCAGCCGGCGTTACCATGACCAAGGCCGGTAGCAAGGGCGGGAACCTCCGCGAGAAGCTGGACGGCAACGAACTGGACCTGAGCCTCAGCGACTTGAATGAAGTCCCGGTGAAGGAGCTGGTCAGTATCGTCCCGCGAGACCCAGGCGCCCACCTTCGCCTGGCGCTGGCGCCTGTGTGGGCCACCTACTTTCCGAAGCATCAGTTTCCTTTTCTTTAAAAAAAAAAAGCGGGGTGGTGGGACTAAGTCCCCTGGGAGGCCGCGTCCAGCCCAAGGTTCTTCCCGGGATGTACACGTGTCACTTTGGCGCAGTTCCAGAGCATAGGGAAGATCTGCTTCTCTGGCCCTAGACTTTTTACAGGCCAAGAAACGAATCTGCCACCTTTGGGGGACTTTCACAGCGCCCAGCTCCATGCCCGACCCAGAGTAGGAGCCCACGGAGCAGTTACTGGATGTATTCGAGAATGAATGAGTGACTCGTTCCGGGGGAGTAGGCCTCCTGGTAGACCTGGGTGTGGCCCAGAACCTGGCTCTTCTAGGAAGCTGGCAATTCCAGCTGGCTGCCCGAGCCCTGAGGTAGCCTACCTCGAAGAAACTAAAGTCTCCCCCCAGCTTGGCTGGTAAAGTCTCATCCCAATTCCGCTGAAACTGGCGGGAGTCTCCTTCGCCCCTCTCTCCCCCAACCTTTCTCCTGTAAACTGAGGCTTAGGGCTCCAGGAAGATTAGGCATCTAGTTTGTCAACGTGGAACTAGTTCCCACATCCCTGCTTTTCTCACTCCGTTCCCCCTCCCACCCCCGCCAACGCCCTGCTAGACTCACTTTGGGTGACCCGCACTTTGCTTTCTTACGTTGATAAATTACATTTGCCTTGGGCCCTGGGCCCAGTCTTTCTTCCACAGTGGACGGGTATGGCGATGCTTAGAATCGGGTTTCCAGCCCCTCCCAGCTCCATTGCTTAATAGCTGAGTGCCCTTGGCAAGCTAGTTAGCCTTTATGCTTAGATCTCCTCATTTATACAATGGTGATAATAGTTTCCATCTCATACGCTTAATGCGAGGTTAAATACCATTGTAATGGAAAATGCTTGGAAGGTGCAAACACTGATACTCGTAGCTGGTATTGTGGTTTTTCCCACTGTAGTATTTAAAACTGTTTTAGGTGGTCAAACGTCACTTTACGACTTTGTGACAGAAAGTGCAGTTTGCCAGAGGATCCTTAACTGAATATTTGCCTTCTTTTCTACCCCAGGAAGATAGATGGCCAGCCTTATTTCAACCTGCCCTAGGACTGCTCTCTGAAACCATGTACTCCAGGCATCTGAACAGCCCAGCATTAACCTTAGGGAGAAAGTTTTGCTGAGCTTGTCCAGCCTGGACACCATGGGAAAATAGAGTGGGATGTGAGGGCCCTTTTTTTTTTTTTTTTTTTTTTTTCCCAGACGGAGTTTCGCTCTTGTTGCCCAGGCTGGAGTGCAATGGCGCGATCTCGGCTCACTGAAACCTCCGCCTCCTGGGTTCAAGCGATTCTCCTGCCTCAGCCTCCCGAGTAGCTGGGATTACAGGCACGTGCCACCATGCCTGGCTAATTTTCTATTTTTAGTAGAGACGGGATTTCTCCGTGTTGGTCAGGCTGGTTTTGAATTCCTGACCTCAGGTAATTTGCCCACCTCGGCTTCCCAAAGTGCTGGGATTACAGGCGTGAGCCAATGTGCCGGACAGGGCCTTGTTTTTTCACTCTGTCATTCACTCTGCTACTTACTCGATCAGTCATGATTCAGGGAACATGTATGAATATTGAGTACTTGTTCTGAGGAAGGGCCTGAACTGGGGAGTATGGAAATTGCAAAGCTTTATTAGACACTGTCCCTGCCCCAAAATCTAATAAGAGGGATGCTGGGTAATATTTATTTTTAAAGTGCTAGGAATAATGTCTAAGAATCTAAATTTTGCTTTCCTTCCTTCCTTCCCTTTTTTTTTTTTTTGGAGATGGGGTCTCACTGTGTTGCCCAGCCGGCCTCAAACTCCTGGGCTCAAGCGATCCTCCTCTCTCAGCTTTCTGAGTAGCTGAGACTATGAGACTACAGATGTGAGTCCCTGTGCCTCGCCTAAGGTTTCCCTTCTTGGATGTTGTACAGCCACGTCCCTTCTGTTTGCATTCTTCCTTAGATCGTGGTTGACTGGCTCATTTTTCCTCTTATTCCCAGGAATGTTACTCTTTACTGCCATTTTAAAAAGGCCTTTCCTAATCATGGGAACTTTCTCTGGAAAATGCTTCATTAACAGATGTCACTGAATTGTTCCAGGTGTTGGTCTGACAGGTTTTTCTCATCCTCTTTTACCTAGGCTGCTCTTCCAAAGGCCACCATCCTGGATCTGTCTTGTAATAAACTGACTACTCTACCGGTAAGACTGGCATGCAGCCATGACTCCTTCTGGTGCCTCGGACGCATCTCCTTCCTGTTTCGGGGGTGGATGGGGGGCGGGAGGGTGTCATAAGGCATAATTTCAGGATAGGCCTACAGGCAGGCTATAGCTAAATCTGAGTGTGTAGGGGAGGCATAGTGGAGTAGGGTGGTTAGTCTCAGTGGGAAAGGAATTGAGATGGAGGCCTCATTCTTCAGAACAGTGATAAAGTAAGGCCACAGAAAACTAGACTCAAAAGGATGCTAAGTAACTTACTGGGCCCATCTTTTTTCTACATTATTTTATTCCTCTGAAAAATAGTTTACCTCCCTACTGCATAGAGGATGCGGAGACCATTTTGTAAGTTGCTCTGCATTCCAGGGAGAAAGCTGTGAACAGCTTCCTTGTGCATCTTTTGGTGGGGAGCAAGAAAGAATGTGATTTTATGGGACTACCTTATCATTATTCTCCCAAAGGACTTGAATTACTTGAGATTTGCTCAATTTGGTCAGCACATTCAGTCTATAATCAAATCCTTTTGATTTTTCTTGCACAACATCTGCTAGTTCTCTTTCTGCTCCACTTGTGTAGACCGTGGATTCATTCAGCCCCTCAGCCTCTCCGACAGAGCAGTGCTCCTGCACGGTCAGGCCTAAGTGGGCTATTGTTGCCTCTTCCACCCATCACTCTAGCTGTGCCACTCCTTGCTGTACTCCAGAGTAACTTCCTATTTGGCCCTGGCTGTGGCTCAGGGATCAAGTTCAGAAGTTGGCAATGTCCTCATTGGATCATTAGTCCACTCACCTCTCAGTATACTCCTAGGCCTTGCTCATTGTCCATGGTACCTTCCCACAGCTCATCAAAAACTGTTTCTAACATTCAAAAAGCATCTGAGATCCCACTTCTTCCAGAAAGTATTTTGTGTTGAATAAAAGAAGAATATGTTGGGAGCTGTGGCTCATGCCTATAATCCTGGTAACTCAGGAGGCTGAAGTAGGAGAATCACTTAGCCCAGGAGTTTGAGACCAGCCTGGACAACATAGCAAGACCCCACCTCTAAAAAAATAAAAATAAAAGCAGGGTAGCAATTCCTTGCAGCCACACTTCTATTGTACACTTTGCCAGATGGTCATTCAGCCAAGTGCACTTTTGAATCTGAGCTTGTTCTGTTGTCTGTACTGACAACTTCCATTTCACTCTGCACTGCAGATCCACTGGCATTTCCAAGTCCCTAGAGAGCACGAATAGTGCCTCATTAGCTGAAGTTGTACCATCGCTTTCAGATGAGTGCTTAGCAAAGGTTTAATGTCAGGGGGATGTTTTGACCTGTGTTGAGAAAGAGCCAGGACTTGGGTAGGCTGGGCCCCAGCCTGTTCAGTTAGTTATTCACAGAATGTCCGTTGAGCATCTGTGTTAAGTACTGTGCTAGGCGCTGCGAATAACAAGAATCAGACTGAGGACTCCAGGAGTGCCTGATCTTTTTAAAATGCATGAGCACACTGTTTTGACAGATCCTATCAATGGTGAGCATAGGGTGCTGTGGAAAGACAGAATGGGTCCCACACCACTCCAGGAGCAGTGTGGAGGGTGGGCTGGAGCAAGAACTGAGGATGAAAAAATAGTGTTTTGTGCCTACTTTGTGCTAAGCCCTTTTCCATACACATCTTGGTAATTATCACCAGGAATGGCAGGTGTTCTCTGCATTTTCTTTTGAGGAAGAACGGCTGCTAACAGTAGAACCAGGATATTTGCAGGGGGTACCTCTGACTTGAGGGCTTCCAGACTGTTACACCAAAGTGTGTGAGCCCAAGGCTTAGATGAGGAGTGTCCAGTCTTGTGGCTTCCCTGGGCCACGTTGGAAGAAGAAGAGTTATCTTGGGCTACACATAAAATACACTGATGAGCTGAAAAAAGAAGAAAAAAAAACCTCGTAATGTTTTAAGAAAGGTTACAAATTTGTGTTGGGCCACATTTAAAGCTGTCGTGGCTTGTGTGTTGGACAAGCCTAGCTTAGTTTCTCTCTTTGGATCCTAGTCGGATTTCTGTGGCCTCACACACCTGGTGAAGCTAGACCTGAGTAAGAACAAGCTGCAGCAGCTGCCAGCAGACTTCGGCCGTCTGGTCAACCTCCAGCACCTGGATCTTCTCAACAACAGGCTGGTCACCTTGCCTGTCAGCTTTGCCCAGCTCAAGGTAACAATTCATGAACCAGTGTTTCATGGCCAGGTGTGGCAGAGAACTCAGGGACTCTGGAGCACGGCCCTGAGAAAGACTGACAGAAATACCCCCTTGTTGTCCTGCCTCAGATGGCGCTTCCTACAGGTGGAACACAGAGGGGCATTCTTCCTGCTCATGTTATTCCACCCTGAAGGTCTATGTATGTGAACTTGGGCTTAACAAGCCTCTTTGCCCATTGCCCATCTCTTTAGAACCTGAAGTGGTTGGACCTGAAGGATAACCCCCTGGATCCTGTCCTGGCCAAGGTGGCAGGTGACTGCTTGGATGAGAAGCAGTGTAAGCAGTGTGCAAACAAGGTAAGCAGCAAGCTCCCAGTGGCGCTTTATATACTCCCCTGGGATTTCTCCTCCTCCTGTTTTTCCTTCCTAGGGCACCTGGAGCTTTGTGTGGAGTTAAGCATTCAGGTCCCGGTGAAATATGTCCACTATGAGCCTGTCAAGCAGAGACCTTTGTTTCTGCATTTACTTTATTTTTTTGTTTTTTATTTGTTTTGAGACAGAGTTGCTCTGTTGCCCAGGTTGAAGTGCAGTGGCACAATCTCAGCTCACTGCAGACTCCGCCTCCCAGGTTCAAGCGATTCTCCTGCCTCAGCCTCCCGAGTAGCTGAGATTACAGACACCTGCTACCATGCCCAGTTAATTTTTGTATTTTTTAGTAGACATGGGGTTTCGCCATGTTGGCCAGGCTGGTCTCGAACTCCTGACCTCAAATGATCCGCCCACTTTGGCCTTCCAAAGTGCTGGGATTATAGGTGTCAGCCACCGTGCCCGGCCTGCGTTTACTTCACAAGTCGCAGAACAAGACTTCTCTACTGCAGTACTTCCTCTCTTAAGAAGCCAGGAGCTTGCATGATGCAGCATGACACTGTGTGGACAGTTGTTTTAACAGTACCAGGGGGTTAGGGGCCATGGCCTTTCTGAGGCACAGTTGTAGGAATGTTGATAATAAAAGTGATGATAAAGATGTTACAGCTGTAAGTTTATAGCTGTAAGCAGACACGTCCTGGGCAGACCTGGTATTTGATTACAGTTGAGTCATCTGACATAGGAGTGAGGAACTGAAAGCGGCATGCAAGACAACCATTGTCTGTGGTCAGTAGCCTGGAAGGTGTCGTACCCTGCCTATTAAGAACAGCATTATACCTATCTTAATAACTCCAACTATAGTCACTTTTTCCCTTCAGCTTTGGAACAGATTGCTGCTGCTTCAGCTGAGCACCAAATGACTGACTTGGCTATGTTTAAGGTGCATGTTGAACAAAAAAGACCTAACTTTAATTACTAGATTTCATGGGTGAATGATGAGTCTCTGCTGTCTCAAGTAGAGAGTAAGAGAGTAAGATACTTCTTATCATTAGCTCAGGGCTTCTTATATAATCTCATCATCTGTATCATCACTTATTATAATAAATCAAGTACAAAGTTAACACAACCAAGTAGCTAAGACAAGAGTTTTCCCTTAGATGAGAACAGTATAAATGATCAGTGAAATCCTCTTTTGAAAACTGGGTGCTGTAGGAATGATGTCTGTTCTGAAAACTGACAGTAGCTACCATTGATTACTCTTTCCTTGTCCTGAATGCTTTCCATGCACCATCTCACAATCCTCAGAGCCCTGAGGAGTCAGCATTACTTTCATTTCTCTGACACAAGAAACCCTTAGCATATACATACCTTTCATTCATCCATCCATCCATCCATTCAGTAGATGATATGTGGAACCATAGGAAATTGATGATATTCTACAGTTTTTGACATACAAAAATAATTTTTATTGAGTACAAAGGCCTTTTGTATTTGCATATGTCTTTCAGCCAAAGCTCCAGGCAACGTAGTGGATGTGGTAACTAAAGCCATGGTCCCTGGCACAGCTGTCCTGGAGCTGCAGCACACCTTTAGGCTTTGTAGGGAAATGGCCTGGGCTAGTCAGAATCAGGTCGCCTGTCTGCAGGAATTAGTTTAGGTCTTACTAGCTCTGTCCAGGTAGGACCTAAACCCTGGTGGGTATATGGGTTAGTCTTAATCAGCTTGGTACATATTAAAGCAACTTCTAAAAATGATTTGTTCAGTGTATTCATCAAGTGCTTACTGTATGCTGTGAACTAGGGTAGCTAGACAAAAATTTACCCTCCAGGAGTTCACAGACTCCAGACTATGAGAATCTGTCCCATTTCTGCATTGCCTGTGTTTTCAGATAATTAATTTTTTTTTTTTTTTTTGAGACGGGGTCTTGCTCTGTCACCCAAGCTAGAGGGCAGTGGCGCGCTCTCAGTTCACTGCAACCTACACCTCCCAGGTTCAAGCAGTTCTCCCACCTCACCTTCCTGAGTAGCTGGGATACCACCTCGGCTAATTTTTGCATTTTTAGTAGAGATAGGGTTTCACCATGTTGGTCAGACTGGTCTTGAACTCCTGATCTCAGGTGATCCGCTCCCCTCACTCCTCTTCCTCAGCCAACACCCTGGACTCTCACTTTCCACACTCCCTGCATCATGGCAACGGGACCCATGACTTCTCCACTGCCTGAGTGCCCTGAGCCCTAACTCTGCGTCCAGACCTGATTTCTTTTCTTTCTTTTCTTTTTTTTTTTTTTCTTTTTTTTTGAGACAGAGTCTCGCTCTATCGCCCAGGCTGGAGTGCAGTGGCACAATCTCGGCTCACTGCAACCTCCACCTCCTAGGTTCAAGAGATTCTCCTGCCTCAGCCTCCTGAGTAGCTGGGATTACAGGCACACACCACTACGCCCAGCTAATTTTTGTATTTTTTAGTAGAGATGGAGTTTCACCATATCGGTCAGGCTGGTCTTGAACTCCTGAGCTCCAGCGATCTGCCCACCTTGGCCTCCCAAAGTGCTGGGATTACAGGCGTGAGCTACCGTGCCTGGCCCAAACCAGGCTCTTGAAAGGAGATCCTTTTGCTGGTCTGCTCCTGAATACTTCTTATGATGGGTGTGTGCTTGTCTGGAGGTATGCCTGTCTGGAGTTTTCTAGAAATAAGAATTAAATATGAATATACATGTCTGTCTCATGGGCATGCATATTCAAATGTAATTGTTAAGTGCAGTAGTAAAACAAGACCCTTTTGCTAGTATTTGGGTTTTCTTCTTTTTTTCTTACGTGGTAAAAATAATAAGCAACAGTACTTATTGAGCACATATAATGTCAGAGATTATACAAGGCAGCCAATACAAGTTATATTATTTATTCTTCACAGCACTCCATAGAGGTGTATCTTATCTCTGTTTTCTAGATCAGAAAATTGGCTCAGAAAGGTTAAGTCAGTTGCCAAGGTTATACAATAAGGGGTAGTCAGGATTGCGTTGGGCTCCAAGCTTACACTCTGTCCCCTACAGCCGAAGAATACCAGCTTAAAAAAAATACAAACAGAAAAGGTCTTTACCTACCCCACACACTATAGCGAGAATCATTGCGATTGTGTGGTTAGAGGTCATCCATGAGCGAGTTGATAGGGATCTGGGGAGCTCAGAGTGCCGAGTACAAGTGTGCTGTGTGTAGGCTTCTCTCGGAGCTTTCCTGTGCTTGTGGTGAAAGTGTGTGGGACAAGCTCTGCCCTAGGAATGCAGGGGACTGTGCTCAGGTCTTAGCTGTGCTGCTTTCTGGCCATTAGCAGTGGACAAATCATCCTATGAGTCTTGGTTTTCTTCCTTTTGAAATGGGAATCAGCCATTCCTCATGTATGTATTGAATGCCTGCGATTAGCTAAACTCTGTGCTAAGCATGCCCTGTGGGATACCTACAGACCAGACAGCGGTTCCTGCCATTGAGGAATCTGCCATCTTATGACCAAGCCAGATAGGTAGCAAGTGGTTACAGTGTCCTGTGTTGAATTCCACAGGAGTAGATGGAGTGGGACTTAAGGTAGCCAAAGCAGGGGCAGTCAGGAAGGCGTGTTGGAGGAAATGCTGCCCCCAAGTTGTTGTTGAGGGTCATATGGAATCATGCATGTGAGAGTGAGTGTAAATGGCAGAACTTTTTACAGATTCAAGTTGGCATTGTGTTTCACTTTTTTCTGGCAGTTTTAATGACCTGGGCTCATATCACTCTTCTCCAACTAAGGTTGGCACAGTAATTTTAGGATACAAAGATACAATTAACTCCATTAGTTTGGTGGTGGTGGTGGTGATTGTTTTGAGATAGGGTCTCACTCTTCACCCAGGCTGGAGTGCCATGGCGTGACCACAGCTCACTGCAGCCTTGACCTTCTGGGTTCAAGTGATCCTCTCTCCTCGGCCTCCTAAGTAGCTGAGACTACAGGCATGTGCCACTGCGCCTGGCAAATTTTTTACATTTTTCTGTAGAGACAGGGTCTCATTATGTTGCCGAGGCTTGTCTTGAACTCCTGGGCTCAGGCAATCCTTCCACCTCGGCTTCCCAAAGTGTTGGAGTTACAGGTGTGAGCCACCACATTCAGCCTAACTCTTTTAGTTCTACATTGCTATCATGATAATCTGGGAGCCTGAAAACAGTCTGTTTTGAGACTTCCTGAGCAAATGTGACTGTGAAGAGCACTACTTTTCCTCCTTTCCCTTTGCAGGTGTTACAGCACATGAAGGCCGTGCAGGCGGATCAGGAGCGGGAGAGGCAGCGGCGGCTGGAAGTAGAACGTGGTAGGTGGCTGTCCCTCTTGTAGTTGTCTTTCAGGTCCTCATCCCAGCCAGTGGATTCTCATGCTTCAGGAGCTGGGATCCAGTAGAATAGTCATGAAGAGCAGTAATTGGGTGGTGGGGGGACAGTATTGTGGTGGATGGTATCATCTTTATCTGATGAATCTCTCTTCAGTCCTGGCTTCTCTGCTGAGCTCTAGAGGCAGTCAACTGCTTATATTTCACCTCTGCTTGGAGGGTTAATAGGCACTCATATGAAGTGTGGCTAAAAGAGATTCCTGATGGCCCTTCAGTCCCTCCTAGTGTTCCCTATAATAGGAAATCACTTTCCCTGTAGTTATTCAAGCCTGAAATAGGAAAGATGTTAATGACTCCTTTTTTTCTGTAATTCCCACATCCAGTCTGTCAGCAAGTCCTATGTGGGACTGTTTCTCCAGCTTCGGTGCCATCTCTGTAACCAGCCACCATTCTGGGACCACCACAATGCCTTCCGGCATATCTCCATGATGCTGCCATCTCCTTAAACTCAGTCTCTTCACAACAGTCCGGGAGATCTTTTTAAAACATAAATAATTATGCTGCTGCTCGCTTAAAACCCTCTGATGGCATCCCACTGAACTTAGAATGAAATCCAAACTCATTGACAAGGAAGGCCAGCAAAACCCACCTTGGCCCAAGCTTGCTTGCCTGCTCTCCACCGGCCTTGTTGCACACACGAATGAGACTGTGCCATTAATTTGAGCTTGAATACACCAACTGCAGTCTCACTCAGGGGCTTTGCTGGGTTTCCTTTTCCCTTAGTCTCTATGTGCTGGCTTCATAATCCCACATCTCTGCTCAAATGTTGCCTTAGGTTAACTGTAACCCTTTTAGAACCACCAGACTAGAGTAGCCATTCTACCTTCACTTTGTCATACCCTGTGCTAGTTTCTTCTCTTTTTTTTTTTAATTATTTTTTGAGATGGAGTCTCACTCTGTTGCCCAGGCTGGAGTGCGGTGGCACGATCTCGGCTCACTGCAACCTCTGCCTCCTGGCTTCAAGCCATTCTCCTGCCTCAGCCTCCTGAGTAGCTGGGACTACAGGTGCCCCTCTGCTAGTTTCTTTAGGGCGCAGATGACTGTCCTCTTTATGTTCACCTGTTTATTGTCTCCTTTAGAAAGTAAATGATACAGGCACTGGAACGTGGCCTGTTTTCTTCATTGCTGCATCTCAAGCACTTAGAATAACCCCTGGCACATAGTAGGTGACTGGCTGGCTGATTTCTGAGCCCCTCGCTGGAGGACTCCTGTGGTTCAAGAAAGGATATGTACGGTAGTGATTACAGGCAGTCCCTGAGAGCACCATGCCAAGTTACAACCATCCCTTACTACGCATGGCCACTGTGGCAAGGCAGGCCCATGTTTACTCTGAGCCCTGCTGCCTTCACCTCTCAGTGGCCCGTGTTCCCTAGAGGCTGGGTGGAGTGTGTTCTTGGCATTCTGGTGCCCAGCTGGAACTTGGAGCTTGTTTCTACATGGAGAAGCAGTGGAAAGCTACAGTAGTTACAGTAGTCCTATTCAGCTACATTATGGCTAACATGGGCTTTGAAGCCCTAAAAGGACATTTAACCATCATTTGTGGCATTCTGGCTTTGGAAAAATGTATTTCAGACTTCCAAATAACTAATTTGGAAATGCATTTTTAGAACCCAATAATTTGGAGGTTGTAATTTGGAAGTGTGTAAACATGCTTGAACTGTTGAGTAAATCTGAATGTGTTCCTGTGTTCAGTTCTCAGATTCATGAGTTCAAGTCTAGAGGCTACTATGACAAACTATTAGGCTTATTTGTTTTTTAAGACTAGTCAAGTGCAGGCTGGTCCTAGTGCAGTGGTGTTTACAACTAACTGATCACAACCAGTTAGAGATTTCTTTCTTCCTTCTCCACTCCCACTTCTTCACTTGACTAGCCTTTAAAAAAAAAAACAAAACAGAAAGCAGTCAGTGCAATAGTAAGAAGGTAGGTTCACTTTTTAAGAACAACATTGCCATTGTTACTTTTTTTATTTTCTTTGAGGCATGGTCTCACTGTGTCACCCAGGCTGGAGTACAGTGGCATGATCACGGTTCACTGCAACCTCTACCTCCTGAGCTCAATCAATCCTCCCACCTCAGCCTCCCAGGTAGCTGGGACTACAGGCTTGCGCCAGCACACCCAGCTAATTTTTTCTTTTTTTTTTTGTAGAGACAGTCTTGCTATGTTGCCCAGGCTGGTCTCGAACTCCTGGCCTCAAGTGATACTCCCAGCTTCACCTCCCAAAGTGCTAGGGTTATAGGCATGAGCTACTGTTCCTGGCCTCATTGTTTCTAACTCCAAACTTGAGTGCTCATTTTCTGTTCTCACTTGTCCCCCCATGCCACATTCATTTCTGAAGCTTGGGAAGATGGGAGTCCCATAGAAAACTGCCATGGCTTTTTCTCTGCATAGCTGAGTGCTAGAAGGCTATCAGTTGCTATGCCTTCTGAGTTAGTACCTAATTCTAGAGGAGCACCACTTATCCCTCACACTTTGCTTAGGTCCTCCTTGTTATTTTACCCTAATTTCTCTGCTGCTTGAGGAGAGGAACCTCGTAATCAGAATCCATTCAGCAAACCCTGAGAGCAGCTGCTTTTGGGGAGGGCTACTTCCAGGAGCAGAAAGATGACTGTTTCCTTTGAATATTTCTTATGTGAACCATGGCACTAGGGTAAAGGTGGCAGAATCTGTACTTTTAATCACTTGGGAAAGCAAACTGCTGGAGTGTTTGAGAGAGAAAAGTGAAATTTTGGTATATTTTGTTGTAGAGGCAGAGAAGAAGCGTGAGGCCAAGCAGCGAGCTAAGGAAGCTCAGGAGCGGGAACTGCGGAAGCGGGAGAAGGCGGAAGAGAAGGAGCGCCGGAGAAAGGAGTATGATGCCCTTAAAGCAGCCAAGCGGGAGCAGGAGAAGAAACCTAAGAAGGAAGCAAATCAGGCCCCGAGTAAGTTTTCTGCCTGTTGTAAGGTTCCAGCAGGGGTACAGTGGAGACACTCATGTTTCCAGGCATAGATGACTGGGTGAGCAGGCCTGCACACCTTAGTCAGATACATTACTCTCTAAAGCTTGGGAGTGGATGAGAGGTTTGGTGCCAGGGAACGGGGGGCTCTCCTAGGGAGCTAGTGCCCAGCTTGCTTGTTTCTCCAGTGCCCACATACTTCTGTGCGGGTGTTTTGATCAGATATGTCTTGGAGCATTCCCGGAACAGAGTCTCACCTTTTTTTAGAGGTGAGGTTCTAAAATCATTAAGAAATGCAAAAATCACACACGGTCAAGTTTACTTTTTTTTTTTCGAGACAAGAGTTTCACTCTTGTTGCCCAGGCTGGAGTGCAATGGCATGATCTCGGCTCACTGCAACCTCCGCCTCCCAGGTTCAAGAGATTCTCCTGCCTCAGCCTCCCAAGTAGCTGGGATTACAGGCATACACCACCACACCTGGCTAATTTTGTATCTTTAGTAGCGATGGGGTTTCTCCATGTTGGTCAGGCTGGTCTCAAACTCCCAACCTCAGGCAGCCTCCCCAAGTGCTGGGATTACAGGTGTGAACCACTGTGCCCAGCAAGTTTACTCTTAAAAGTGCCTTACAGTCAGGTTCTGTGACTCAGGCCTTTAATCCCAGTGCTTTGGGAGGCTAAGGTGAGATCACTTGAGCCCAGGAGTTTGAGACCAGCCTGGGCAACACAGAGGTCTCTACATAAATTTAAAAATTAGCCAAGTGTAGTGGCACACACCTGTGGTCCCAGCTACTTGGGAGGCTGAAGCAGGAGGATCATTCAAGACCAGCCTGGGCGACAGTGAGACCCCTCTCTGCTTGAACATGAGAGGTGTCATTTTCCCTGCATTCAGGGAGGCATATTGTATAGAAAACACATCTTTGTGTTTTACCTGAATATGTCTGGTTGAATTTCGTAGTGATGTGGCTCCATATGCTGCAGAGGATCAGATACCCTCTGGGTGAAAAGGGACCCCTGAGGGAGAGGCAGGTGAGGGAAGGAGCTCTGTACAGAGAGTGGAGGCCTGTGGCCCTACCCCTACTCACCCTTGTCTTGAGCAGCACAGGACCACAGGCCTCCACCCTCCTGATCTCACTGGTTTTTAATTTCCTTGTTGAAAACGAAGATCATACAGGGTAGTAATAAGGATTAAATGAGGAAGCAGGGTCATGCAGTTCCTGGCATTGTGGATGCTCAGTCAAGTTTGTTTTTTTTTTTTTTTTGGGGGGGAGTCTCGCTCTGTCGCCCAGGCTGGAGTGCAGTGACCGGATCTCGGCTCACTGCAAGCTCCGCCTCCCGGATTTACGCCATTCTCCTGCCTCAGCCTCCTGAGTAGCTGGGACTACAGGCGCCCGCCACCTCGCCCGGCTAGTTTTTTGTATTTTTTAGTAGAGACGGGGTTTCACTGTGTTAGCCAGGATGGTCTCGATCTCCTGACCTCGTGATCCGCCCGTCTCGGCCTCCCAAAGTGCTGGGATTACAGGCTTGAGCCACCGCGCCCGGCCTCAGTCAAGTTTTTTAAAATTTTGTCTAAAAATCTCAAAACCAATTTTTTTCTAATTAAAAATGTAATATATGTTCATTGCAAAGAATTGAGAAAAGATATCTATCTATCTAGATACATATATCAGAAAATGGCAACCACCTGTACTCCCCCATTCCTAGCAATCATCACTGCTTACAATATGGTGTATTACCTTTTGGGCTTTCTTTTTATATACACATTATATCATAATGACAATAATGATAAATCCTGACCCTGCTTCCCCAAGTGGACAGTACTCTGTCAGCGCTGGGTGCCTTCTGATAAGCCCCTCCCTCTGCGATCCCAAGAGGTGTGGATCACCATGTTACCAAGGAGAACTTAGGACCCTGAGGGCTGTGAGCTACACGAGACACACAGAATGAGTCCCAGTTTCAAATCCACCCCCTCAAGATCCAAGGGAAAAGGTGTTTCTGTTTCGGTCTCTGGAGACATTTTTTGTCTTCAAGTCCTGGAGAGTTTTTGCTTGAGGAAGGGATGTAGGTAGATCTGTACGGAGGAGACTAGCAGAGATTGGTATAGAGTGGGTCTCCTCTGACTGAACTTGTTTTGTCTACTGTTACTGTTCCTCCAGAATCTAAGTCCGGCTCCCGTCCCCGCAAGCCACCACCCCGGAAGCACACTCGTTCCTGGGCTGTGCTGAAGCTGCTGCTGCTGCTGCTGCTATTTGGTGTGGCAGGAGGGCTGGTTGCTTGTCGGGTGACAGAGCTACAGCAGCAGCCCCTCTGCACCAGCGTGAACACCATCTATGACAATGCAGTCCAGGGTCTACGCCGCCATGAGATCCTCCAGTGGGTCCTCCAGACCGACTCTCAGCAGTGAGCTTGTCCCCAGCACCTGCTGCCTCCCAGCCTTGGAGTTTGGATTCCTATGGAATTGGGTTCTGCTGGACACAACCTCTTTTTAGCATCAGACCTACCTGCCATCATCAAATGGCTGCAGATTGGGTACATGAGACCTCCTCTTTGTAGGACTTCTTCGTTCCTTAGTCAGGGTTCCCTGGTGGAATGAGGAGAAATGGGAGGTGGCGGCGGGGGGAGCAGTTACCTGCATGCCTAAAGGAGTAGGCTTGGGGGTGGGGAGAGAGAAAACATAGCCTTTTCTAGTTGTTATACAAAGCTATGTAAAGGCAAGGCTCGTTTCTACTAAATGGTCAGCTGTCACTACATTTATACTTTTGTATGCCACAAACTCTTTCATGCCTCCCTGGGGAATCAGGGCAGATCAGGAGGAAGTTTTTGGGGACTAAAACACCACACTCAGTAAATCCAGTCTAAATTAGGGGGTAAGGGTATTCCTGTTTTCTTCAGGACCTCAGAGATACAAGCATTTTAGCAGCCACACAAAATCTGTGGCTGTGAAAGGGACTTCATGACCATCCAGTCCAATATAACACTTGCAGACAGAGAAACAGGTCTTCCATGACTTGCCTAGTCTCCCAGCTAGTTTGAGGCAAAACTGGATTCCCACTCTGGTATTCTTTTTTCCCTTTACATCATTTTCCCTCCTTTATAATGTCCTGAGAGACTAGAACTCACACCAGAATTGATCATTCCTCAGGCGAAGCATAGAATCTTTCATGGTAGACAGATTTCATGACTCAGAGATAGAAATCTCTTGCTATCATCAGGTCATGGCAGCTCCTGTGGAGTCCTGCCCAACTTTTGTGGCTTCCATAAAATGGCAACAGTCCAGGCTCCTTGCCTCAATTTTAGAGCATTAATTCCCTAATTGCCAGTAAGCAAGGAGGTGGATCTCTGCAAACCTACACTGTCTATGACAGCTCTAGTTGTATTTGGTGTGACTAAATACCTCAAAGGCAACCTGCTTTTGCAGGTTTTGAAGTGTCAGCTTCATAAGACACTGAGGTTTAGAATTGTTTGATTCTAGACCATAACTGAAGGGAATAAATGGAAACAGGAAATGAAGGGAAACAAGTAGCATCATGGAGCTGAAAAGTGGTGCATCACCCAATGACTAGCACAAACAAGGATTGCGCTGTCCATTCTCTTGTCTGCTAGAGTAAGCATTTTCTTGCCTCCTTTGCTTCATCTTTTCACAACAGCTGGATAGAGGGATCAGAAATGACTGTGTCATGGTGCTCATTCACTGCAGACTCCCAGTTGCAAGCTCCTTGGCTCCCCCCGGAGGGAGCAAGAATCTGTCATAATTCAGAGACAGAGGGCCTTTTAGCCCTAATGACCTTTTGCATGGGACTGCCACTCATGACTGTCCTGATATTGGAAGAAAGGACTTTGTTAATCTTCTCCCCCATAGCTCTGCTGCGTAGGTCTACACCTTACTCAGAATCACTACACATTCCTTTAGTCTTCCTCCAAGCTCCAGAGCCATTGGTACAAATGCTTTATTGAAACTAAATACATAATACATACAATGAGATGAAGACAATATAGAAGTCTGCATAGTCATCATAATCCCGTTCCTTGGCCGGTTGAGGCAGCTCAGTGGCTGAGCCCAGTCAAGCCAACCCACAGCTTCACTCACGACTTCCAAGATTTGATGCTAATTCTTTTGGATTTCTACAGTTATTAAATACGTGTCTGAGTGGACTGTCTTTGTTCCTTTGTGTTTTGAGGGTTGGCTGGGTAGGAGTGGGGGTGGTTTGTGACTGAATTTTTGCCAGGAGAGGAACATTAAATGCCAAAGGTAGGTGGCAGTATTTCAGTCTCTGCCCCAGCTGACAGGCAGACCTTCACAAATAACAAGACCCAGGAAAGACTGGGCCTCACCTAGGCTTGTATTTCAGAAGGTGCTGCCAGTCTCTTCATTGCAGTCTGGCTCTGAGGTTGGGAAGGTGGAAGTTTCCAGCTTTTCATCCCATCCCTGAGGGCTAGAATCAGTCAGCACTATCTAAAGAGAGATGTGGCTGTAAAGTGGTCATCTGAAGGTAGATACGCCTGGATAGCTCTGGTCCAACGCGGCGAGAAGTGGATGTTACACCCTCCCCACGGCGCACCTGTATGTCTGCGAGCAAATTCTGGCGTTCTTGCTCCGAAAAACACTGCCGATAAGCCTGGAAGTGGTACATGACCTCTTAATATGGTACCATCCACAGTGATCCCTTCTCCATGAGCATGGAGGGTTCTATGCTTGGCTTGGGGCATGAGAACCTGTCCTCCCTCCCTGGGTCAGCATTAGCAACTCTGATCTTAGCAGACCTGCACTGCTGACCTGTGAGGCCTTTGTGGGCCCTCAACAGTTGTCCATGGAAATCTGGAGGCTCACTGAACGCGCAGGCAATGGGCAGTGACCCCTGAGCCCTGGAGTGGCATACCTGTACCAGGAGCTGTGGGGAGGGATAGGCATCCACAACTGCACTGGCCGTTTCCAAGCTGACTCGGTTCAGCTGCTGAATCTGTCTCCTCCAGACCAGTGCGAGACCCCTGCCAGCACGGTCCACCTTCACCCCTCCAGCCCAGTCACTCTCCACACAGAAGGAGAAGGTAGTTTCATCTCGGAGTTTCCTGCAACAGCATAGTTGGAGAGCTGCAAGTTGCTCATTACTCTCTTACACCTGTTCTCTCAAGTGGCAACTGAAAAACCCACCCACTGACGTTGGAAGAGGTGGGCACCATGTTACATCTGGCCTTTTTGTGCCTTTGACAATTTGCTCACTTTGTTCCCAGGTATAGTGCCAGTTGCTAATTAATTTAAAAACTACGTCTAGTCCATTTTCGTAGAAGAAAAGGTACCAGATTCTTCGATATTTGGCAATCTGGAGTCTATTTCTGGTTCTTCTCACTGCTAGGACCTTAGACAAGTCAATCTCTTCAGGCCTCCGTCCCCTCAAGTATAAAATAAGGGACTTGGACTGGATTGTTTCTGAGGTCATTTACTTATTTTAAATTCTGACAATGAACACTCCTTGAACTATTTTTAGTAGGCTAAAAATTTCCTTTCCGAGTGCTTATTACATTGTGATCTGACCTGTAATGAATCCTGGTAACTTGGCCTATGGTAACCTGGCCTATGATGTCAGCCTGTAGAACACATACTTACACATAAGCAAAAGCAGAATATTTGAAAAGGGGCTAGGCTTGAGGACTCTTCCCAAGAATCCCCAGCATGAGGTCAGCTCCTTCTGCCTCCAGCTTGAGAGACAATGGGCTGACTGCAGAGATGAGGGGAAAGGGACATTTGCTTTGACTGCAAGAGCCATGGTAAAGGACGAGGCCCAGCGTGGAGGCTGGACTTGCTGGGGTTACTCACTTGAAGGGCGTCTCAGCCACAGCCTTTGTGAATGCACATGTGAAGTCAGCCAGTTCTTTCCAGCTCTGCACAATTTGAGCCTGGGCTTCTGTGTGTAGCTGCAGATCCACCAATGCCTAGAAACCCAAAAGCAACGATGGACGGGAGGGGTAGAGAGAGACTAGCTGCAAGTCACTGTCCACTAAAGCCACACCACAGCCCCTTGGCTCCCTGTTTGGCACCTTCTCTCTTTCTCAGTGCCAAGACAGAAAGCAGTATGCAGCAGGCATTTTATTCTTTATCAATAGGAAGTCTCAGGTGACCAGTGAGTACCCAGCCCGATTCAGGCAACAGGACGTTCTTACCTCTTCAGCGTCTACCCTGGATACCATGGACCCTATGCTGGCCTCTGGTTGTTTCTGTTGCTTCTCCTTGGTCTGTTTATTTGTTCCCTGTTTCCCTCTGCTTGGAGGATTCTGAGTGCTGGTGCAGGGGAGGAAATCAAAGGACAGCAGCTCCAGGCTGAAGTCAGGCAGAAGATGCGGAAGAAGACTGGACCAGAGCATCCCCCCGGGCTTGTTAGAGACAGACTACCTTGCAGAGTGACCTACATCTGCGAAGAATAAACTCACCCCTCTTGGCCCAAGAGCTGCCCCTTTTAACATGAAATCACCAGGGCAAATCCAAACCTGAAGCATTTCTCCTGATCCACAATCACCAGTGACAGAGCTTTCCCTGCTGTCCTTGCTGTGATGTCAGTTACAAAGCCCTGAAACGTTTCCTTCCCTTTCATAGTGCTGTCCAGGCTTCCCTGCATGAAGGGGCAGAAACTGCATTAATACTTGCTTCCTAGTAAGAGTCAGCCCTCTGTTCCATGTCCTCCCACCCTCTGGCTTGGCCCACCTGCTTTCCATTGTAGATCATGGACACAAATATCTCTGCCCGGAGCAGCACCAGGACTGTTGGCTCCTCTACCCAGTCCTCTCCGTCCTGCCAAAGTACCCGGAACACAGCCCAGGGAAGGAGGTCAGCAGGTAATGAGCACCTGTGAGAGTGGCCCAGGTCTTCTGGGTGAATGAACTAACTCCCACCCCTTATGCATTATCCCTCTGGAATGAAGTCACTGTGGCAAGAAACAGTGTTGCTATCCCTCCCAGCCCTCAATTGTTCAGTCTTGGTGCCCTGCATCTCAGAGACAGTGAATAAGAATAGAACATAGCAGCTGGGCGTGGTGGCTCACGCCTGTAATCCCAGCACTTTGGGAGGCCGAGGTGGGCGGATCATGAGGTCAGGAGTTCGAGACCAGCTTGGCCAACATGGTGAAACCCTGTCTCTACTAAAAATACAAAAAAATTAGCTAGGCGTGGTGGTGCATGCCTGTAATCTCAGGTACTCGGGAGGCTGAGGCAGGAGAATCACTTGAACCCAGATGGTGGAGGTTGCAGTGAGCCGAGACCACGCCATTGCACCCTAGCCTGGGCAGCAGGGTGAAACTCTGTCTCAAAAAAAAAAAAAAAAAAAAAAAAGGAGAAAGGAACATAGCAAGTTGAAAGGGGCTGGGGCCAATTTGTTCTGTACATTTTGAATAGGGGAATGGAGAAAAGGGAAACTCTTCCAAAGGATTTAGTACAAGTAAATGACTCTGGCTTTGAAGGCAGATGCTGTGAGCTGAGTGGCCCTTACAAACATGTAAGTTCTTTTGTGACAAAGACAAGAATCACAAGGGAAACTTCAGTCTATGATAGCACCTCCTGTTTGTCACAGGTAGGGCATAATCAAAGTCAAGAATGCCTCAAGGCCAACAATCCTCCAGCAGTACAGTATTATGGAGTAATTGGGGAGCAGGACTTTTATAGAAAGTTTTCTGATTGGGTCCCTATAAGCAAAGCAAGACCTATAGGTCGGGGGAGCTCTGGGTTCTCATTCCCATTGTGATCCTCAATAAGGCTTTTAACTTTTCTGGGCCCCAGTTCCCCCACCTGTGATGTGGGGAGAAGTCCTACCCTATAGGATGACTGACAGAAACACAAGAGAGAATGTGGGAGTGCCTTGAGAGGGTAAGCTGCTCTATGAATATAAAGGCTTACTAATACCCCCAGAGTAAAAAGTGTGGGGAACTGTCCTGTGTTACTGAGAAAGTTATCAGATCCAAAAAAGAAATCAAAGAGAGGAAAAAATACTTTTTTTTTTCTTTTTTCATACAAGATGCTTCTGGTGAGATAAAGAATCTTAGTGCCAGACAAGGTGGCTCACACTTGTAATCACAGCATTTTGAGAGGCCAAGGCAGGCAGATTGCTTGAGCTCAGGAGTTCAAGACCAGCCTGGGTAACATGGCAAAACCGCGTCTCTACCAAATATACAAGCTCCACTCTACGATCTCTACAAAAAACACAGGGCCCACATGTCTTCTGGCTCCCAGCTGGGTGTCACCAGCGGGGAACCCGAGGAGAGGACTAGTGGGAAGGAGGAAAGTGAAGTCAGGGTATTTTTCCCCTGGCTCCCTCCCAGCGGGGTCACCTAGGGTTTGCCGTCCCCCCTCTATGGCAGCTCATAGCTTCGCTCAAGGTGATCCTCTCTCCATGTCTCTCTCCTGGATTCTGTTAACCACTCCTTCCCCTCATCCCTTCAGGCATAGGGATGGTAACAGCTATGCCAATGGTTCTCAACCGGGGGTGATTTTTCCCCACAAATGACATCTGGCAATGTCTGCAGACATTTTTTATTGTCATGACTGAGAGGGGTACATTAGTAGATAGCGGCCAGGAATGCTGCTAAACATTTTGCACATCACAGGACAGCTCCCAAAACAAGAATTCTCCAATCTAAAATGTCAATAATTCTGAGGTTGAAAAACCGTAAGTTGTGCTGTTATTACTGTGAGGTACCATGCTGTCACTAGTAGTTTCCTCGTACCCTGCCCATGCCTTGGCAAACAGTCCCTTTATTTAATCTTCCTTCAATTACCCTGAGTTGAATGTGCCATCTCTCTTCCTGCTGGGGCCCTGACTGCTAAGTATCCTTTAAAATAAAAACATATTTATCCTGTAACTGCAAGGGGAGGAGGAGGAAATGTCAGCCAGAAAACCCCTACCTCAGACGGCCCAGCCCTTCTCCTCCAAGTGACACTGCAAGGCACGGCCTGCGCCTCAATCACACAGCGGCACTGCATGGACTGCAGTGCTCCCAGGAGCTGGCCCCCACCTTCCATCTGTAAAAGCACTGCAACAGATAGAAAAGGGACTGTCAGTGGGTGGTCCAGAAAGCAGATAACTCAGCACAGGACAAAGATACATGTGAGGACCTGGATCCAGCACCACAATGATGTGTTTTAAGCATTCCTCTGGCCTCTGGGCTTTCATCCTGGTAACCAGTGCTGCATTCTTTCTTTCCTGTCGTCTCAGGGTACTTTCCTTCTGCCTTGCTTGTCTCTGCTGCCGGCATCCCTGTGAGCCTCTTCCCTGGACCTTCTGACTCTGCTTGGTTTTCTTCTGTGGTGGGAGGATATCAGAATTTGCTTTGGTTACTACCAAGCTGCTGCTCTGGCCAGGGCAGGTAGAGGGGTAGGCTGGAAGCTGACGGCATGGATCTAAGATCAGGTCCTTGTTATCTGCTGCACTCCTCTCTGGGGTATCATGGAGAGGAACTTCAGGGATCTTTGGAAAGGGCTGCTTTTTCCAGTCACATGATACACCTTCATTATTTTGATGATCCAAAACACTTTTAATTGGGGAGCTAGAGTCCTCAGGGCTCGGTTGCTTGTAGGTCAGAAACTTACATGTAAGCCTTTGAGCCAGAGGAATAAATTCTTCTTCATCTTCACTTTCACTGCTTAGCAACCTGACTGGCTGCGTTTGTGTGACAGTTTCAGCTGTGTCTGACACAGGTGGTGAAAGTAACCCTGGTGTTGGAGGACAGGAGGCTTCAGAATCTGAGATGTCAACCACTACAATCTTCTCCTCCCTCTCAGGCTGTCTCCTCTTTGTTGAAGATGGTTCCTTCTTCAGAAAGGCAAACGTTGGCAACTCCTCAGAGTCACTATCACTAGAATCTCGTGAGGGTGATGACTTCCTTAGAGCCATCAGTATGTGCTATCAAATAATTCCCTAAAAGGAAAAGAGACATACGACACAGACTAGAGCATTCAATTCAGTCCACCAGCTGTGTTCCATAGCCAGGCTTTATGACATAAATATAAGATACAGAGAATACAGAAACAGAGAAATATGACATGGTCCCAACACATTCAGTCTGGAACTCTAACTCTTGGTAATCTAACAGGAATCCTCCTCAAATTCTTTCCAGGTCAAGTTGAGGTATAAACAAAGTAGAGTTACCATTACAAAATTTTAATGGGGGGAGGTGGTAACAAGATTTAACACCTCCACCCCCTTGTTGATCTTCACATTTGAAATGGAGATGTCAAAAGTTATTCTTTTTTGAGATGGAGTCTCGCTCTGGCACTCAGGTTGGAGTGCAGTAGCACAATCTTGGCTCATTGCAACCTCACTCCCAGGTTCAAGCGATTCTCCTGCCTCAGCCTAGCTGGGATTACAGGCGCCCACCATCACGCCTGGCTAATTTTTGTATTTTTAGTAGAGACGGGTTTTCATTATGCTGGCCAGGCTAGTCTTGAACTCCTGAACTCAAGTAATCTGCCCGCCTTGGCCTCCCAAAGTGCTGAGATTACAGGCATGAACCACCACAGCTGGTCAAAAACTGTTCTTTTTAAAAATTGAGACATAGGCTGGGCATGGTAGCTCATGCCTATAATCCCAGCACTTTGGGAGGCCAAAGCAAAAGGATCACTTGAGTCCAGGAGTTCAAGAACAGCCTGGGCAACATAGTGAGAACTCGTCTCTACAAAAAAATACAAAAATTAGCTGGGTATGGTAGCTCACACCTGTAGTCCCAGATACTGAGGAGGCTGAGGTGGGAGGATCGCTTGCGCCTGGGAGGTCAAGGCTGCAATGAGCTGTGATTGTACCACTGCACTCCAGCCTGGGTGACAGAGTGAGACCCTGCTTTAAATAAAAATAAAAATAAAAATAGAGATATAATTTGCACAGCACAATATCCTTTTAAAAGTGTACATTCAGTAGTTTTTTAGTATATTCACAATGTTGTGCAACCATCATCACTATTTTCATCACCTCAAAAAGAATTCCTGCAGCCATTAAGCAGTCACTATCCATTCCCTCCCTCTCCCCAGCTCCTGGCAACCATACATCTGTCTCTATGCATTTGCCTATTCTGGATATTTCATATAAATAGAATCATACAATATGTGGCCTTTTGTGCCTGGCTTCTTTCACTTAGCATAATGTTTTCAAGGTTTATCTGTGATGTAGCCTGTATCAGTACTTAATTACTTTTTATGACTTAATAATATTCCATTGTACGGATACGCTACATTTTGTTTATCCATTTATCACTTGGACATTTAATTTGTTTCCATTTTTTTGGCTATTATGAATAATGCTGCTATGAACACTGATGTACTACTTTTTATGGGGGTATGTTTTCAAATCCCTTTCGTGTATATACTTAGGAGTAAAACTGCTGGGTCATATGCAAAGCTAATCATTCCTGGAACATTTACTAACACTGTAGGTATGACCCAGGAGGAGACATGTAACCTGCCTAGGCCTCAGTTTCTTCCTTAGTAAAACAGGGATGATAACAGCACCCATTTTATAAGGTGGTGAGAATTAAATAAAATAATGCATCCACCGCGCTTAGTACAGCATCTAGCACACAGCTGGCTGAATAAAGTAAGTTGAATGACTAGGGAGGGGGCCTCATCTCTGACCCTTCGCTGGGCCTCCGTTGACATCTGCAAATGAGGGGAGTGAGACAAGCGGGCCCCTGTCCGACAAGCTCTGCGGCTCTCAGGCTGGCGGTCCGCTGCAGAGGCTCCTGGACGCCCTAGCCACCAAGACTCTGCAGATAGGTGCTCAGGAGGGAAGTCCCGCCTAATCCGCTGGCCTGCAGCGGGGTGAACTCACCTGCAACTTCTCCCGCCACTCTTTCAACTGCCACGCAGGGCCCGGAAGTAGATCTCCTGATAGCGGAAGTAGAACCTTTTCGAGACCGGAAGTGAGTGAACGCAAACATGGCGTCTGTGGTGCTGGCGCTAAGGACCCGAACAGCTGGTAATGGGACGCAGTAGTCAGAGCGGGGCGAGGCGGGGAGGCAGAGTGGAGCTCCAGCAGGGAGGGAAGGAGGTGATACTGATCCCCGCGGAGGACCCTGGATGCGAGGGGAAGTGTGTGGGCCACTCCAGGTTTGAGGGACGCTGTCGCTGGTCACGTGACACATCCTGGGTAGAACCATGAGTGGGGGAGTTGGAGGAGCACTTGGCCTTCCCCTGCCTCAGGAGCACGGACGGCTTCCTTGGCGGTTGGGGGTTTGGGTGATCCTTTCTCTGTATGAGTATTAGTAACAATGGCACATTGGTGATGAAAAAATTAATCTATTCATTCAACAAATTGAGGTCTTACTTTGTGGTAGACACGGCGGCAGGTGTTCAGAAAATCAGCAGAAAACGTGAAGACATGGCTTCTAGCCCCCGAACGGTTTTCTCTGGTGCATAAGCCAATAAATGAACACATAAAGTAGTTGCAAACTGGCAAGTGCTGTGAAGAAAGAAAATGAGTGTGTGTGTGTGTTTGTGTGTGTGTTTTCTTAGATTGAACGGTGAAGGAAGTCTTCTGAGGAGATAACATTTAAGAACTAAAGAATGACAGGAGGCGGGGTATGATGGCTCATGCCTGTAGTACCAACACTGGGAGGCCGAGGCGGGCGGATCGCTTGAGCCCAGGAGTTCAAGACCAACTGGGCCAGATGGCAAAACCCCATCTCTACAAAAAATACAAAAATTAGCCCAGTGTGGTGGCGCTTGCCTGTGGTCTCAGATACCCAGGAGGCTGAGGTGGGAGGATCACCTGAGCTCAGGAGGTCGAGCCTGCAGTGAGCCATGTACATACCACTGCACTCCAGCCTGGGTGACAGAATGGGGCCCTATCCTCACCCCCCCCCAAAAAAAAAAAAAAAAACCTTTGTAAGAACCAAAAAAAAAAAAAAAAGAATGACAGGAGACCTAGCCCTGTGTAGAGTGAGGGACAGGAGAGTGACTTGAGCCAGTTCTACATTTTGAGAAGCAAACTATTCCTGTTATGTAAATTTAAAGGGGATAGGAGTGGAAATGAGGAAATCAGATGGAAAGCCATAATATCCCTGAGCAGAGATGATTTAGCCAAGACGTTTGTGGTGGCAGTGAACTTGGAGGAAAATGGATGAATTTGAGATCTGTTCTGGAGTTAGCATCCACAGAGCTTGCTGGTGAACTGAATATGTGCGGTCAGCAAAGAGAAGGAATCCGCAGTGACTGTGGTTTCTGCCTAAGCAACTGGCTGAATGGTAGCACCATTTACTTTGAGGAGAAGGATGGGGAGTAGGGTGAAGAGCAAATATTTGTGAATGAGATAATGTAAGTAAAGTAAAAGCCCAGCTCCTGAGCTTAGTAAGTATGTAAATGAATGAATAGATGTTTAAAGGTAGGTAGATCCTGGTGCTGGGCATTTAACATGTTGTCTTTCTGAGTCCTTATCTCTGGTCCTTTGCCGCAGTTAGTCTATGTTGTCATGGAAATGTCAGAAACCCAGGCTTCAGACACTCTGAACTTACAGGCTCCAGAGACCCACAAAGCTTCTCTAAAGACACTGGCATGGGCCTTAAATCATGGCTGTGTCTGGAGACCTGCAGGCAAGGAGTTGCACCCCTAAGCTTGTCATACAGCAAGGGACTACCATCTTAGTATGAATTTTAGTTTGTTTTACTTTTTCAAATGAATGCTATTGAGCACTTTGGAATGAGTATGGAGGGGTCAGATTAACAAGGGCAGTCTGTGGGTCATGGTTGGACCTCTGTTTGATGTGCTTTGAGAAGAAAGGGCCCAGCCTTCTGAAATGGCCAGGACCCTGTGGGAGCCACCTTCAGACCAGCTACCCTTTTAGTTTACTAGTATTTGGTGAGCAGTGGATGAGTGAATAGCTGAGAAAGTCATGGGTGAGGCCTGTAATCCCAAAAATTTGGGATCACCTGAGGTCAGGAGTTCCAGACCAGCCTGGCTAACATGGTGAAACCCCGTTTCTACTAAAAATACAAAAAATTAGCCGGGCGTGGTGGCACACACCTGTAATCCCAGCTACTTGGGAGGCTGAGGCAGGAGAATCGCTTGAACCCGGGAGGCGGAGGTTGCAATGAGCCAAGACTGCGCCCATTGCACTCCAGCTTGGGCAACAAGAGCGAAACTCCGTCTTAAAAAAAAAGTCGTGAGTGAGCCTGAAACAGAAGCCTCTCTGGATGTGCTGGGCTTCCCAAGTCTGTTCTGGCCCCTCCATGGTGCATGAGGGTGAGTGAGCCTCTGAAGCAGGCAGCTCTGTGGTGTCCATTTCTCCTCAGCACATTTAGACTAAATGTGTCAGGACCCAGAACACATGATGTTTATTTTTTTCCATTTATGTTTCACTGCTCTCCCGCCCCCTCCCCCAAAAGAAGAAAGCCAAGGACCTTCAGGTATTCCCTGAGAACTAATACACTCAGTGCCCCTTCTGCTCCCCTGACACATCTTTCTCATCTCCCCACCACCTCTCACCTCTCAGCATGTGCCCCATTGAGGCAGAAATAGTTTGAGCCTGTCTGTCTGAACAATGTTTATAGGTAGGTAGATCCTGGTGCTGGGCATTTAACATGTTGTCTTTCTGAGTCCTTATCTCTGGTCCTTTGCCGCAGTTAGTCTATGTTGTCATGGAAATGTCAGAAACCCAGGCTTCAGACACTCTGAACTTACAGGCTCCAGAGACCCACAAAGCTTCTCTAAAGACACTGGCATGGGCCTTAAATCATGGCTGTGTCTGGAGACCTGCAGGCAAGGAGTTGCACCCCTAAGCTTGTCATACAGCAAGGGACTACCATCTTAGTATGAATTTTAGTTTGTTTTACTTTTTCAAATGAATGCTATTGAGCACTTTGGAATGAGTATGGAGGGGTCAGATTAACAAGGGCAGTCTGTGGGTCATGGTTGGACCTCTGTTTGATGTGCTTTGAGAAGAAAGGGCCCAGCCTTCTGAAATGGCCAGGACCCTGTGGGAGCCACCTTCAGACCAGCTACCCTTTTAGTTTACTAGTATTTGGTGAGCAGTGGATGAGTGAATAGCTGAGAAAGTCATGGGTGAGGCCTGTAATCCCAAAAATTTGGGATCACCTGAGGTCAGGAGTTCCAGACCAGCCTGGCTAACATGGTGAAACCCCGTTTCTACTAAAAATACAAAAAATTAGCCGGGCGTGGTGGCACACACCTGTAATCCCAGCTACTTGGGAGGCTGAGGCAGGAGAATCGCTTGAACCCGGGAGGCGGAGGTTGCAATGAGCCAAGACTGCGCCCATTGCACTCCAGCTTGGGCAACAAGAGCGAAACTCCGTCTTAAAAAAAAAGAAAAAGTCGTGAGTGAGCCTGAAACAGAAGCCTCTCTGGATGTGCTGGGCTTCCCAAGTCTGTTCTGGCCCCTCCATGGTGCATGAGGGTGAGTGAGCCTCTGAAGCAGGCAGCTCTGTGGTGTCCATTTCTCCTCAGCACATTTAGACTAAATGTGTCAGGACCCAGAACACATGATGTTTATTTTTTTCCATTTATGTTTCACTGCTCTCCCGCCCCCTCCCCCAAAAGAAGAAAGCCAAGGACCTTCAGGTATTCCCTGAGAACTAATACACTCAGTGCCCCTTCTGCTCCCCTGACACATCTTTCTCATCTCCCCACCACCTCTCACCTCTCAGCATGTGCCCCATTGAGGCAGAAATAGTTTGAGCCTGTCTGTCTGAACAATGTTTGTTTTCTTTGCAGTTACATCCTTGCTGAGCTCCACTCCTGCTACAGCTCTTGCTGTCAGATATGCATCCAAGAAGACGGGTGGTAGCTCCAGAAACCTTGGTGGAAAGTCATCAGGCAAACGCCTAGGCATTAAGAAAATGGAAGGTGAGGATGTGCCTTGGCTTCCCCTTCCCAGCTGCACCCTGTCCTGGTGTTCCTTAGGAGAGCAGAAGAACCCTGCATGTTCCTGGGCCTATTCTTCCTCACCATCATAATTAGCTCCAGATTAAAGGAACAGATAAGACCTGAGGAAGGGTCATAGGGTGGGTGGGTGTGAGCCATAACCATGCAATTAGAGATAAGAGCTGCTGGGTGGCAGATCCTGCAGTGCTTGTGTTGGACTGTCTGGGAGTTGTTTTTGGCCAGGGGCAGGCTTGGAAGTTGGTATGCAGCATTTAGGCCATCATGTTTTCTTGGTAGTTTGCTATGCTGCCCCAATCACTGTGGACTTCTCTTCTAGGTCACTATGTTCATGCTGGGAACATCATTGGAACACAGCGCCATTTCCGCTGGCACCCAGGTGCCCATGTGAGTTGCTCTGTTGCTGCCCCCTTTTTCCTTTCTAGGATGACCTCTCCTTGCCCCTAAGCATGGTAGTAACAGTTGCATGTATTGGGTGCTTACCAAATGGCAAGCATTGTGCTGATTCCCATGCCTACACGATCTCATTTTTTCCTTACTGCATCCCTGTGAGGTGGGTATTGTCTCTATTTTACAGGTGAAATGCCAGAGACTTAGAGGGGGTGGAAGGAGCAAGTGACTGCTGGGATTTGCACCAGGTCTGCCTAACTCCCAGATCATTATGTTTTGCTTTGGTGTTGCATTGGCCTGGTAGTCTTGGTTCTTCTTTCTAACCCTCAGTTCTTGGAGGACAAGATATCTAAAATATTATTTTAGTCTTGGGAAACTAATTTCAATTTATTAGTTTTTCATTATGTCTAAGACCTCTCCCTTTGCATAGACTTACTTGTAGATGGTTGAAAGATAGCTTGAATTTAATGAAATAGAATTCAGTATGCCAGAAATTAGGTTCATACCAGGTGGGGATTTCAGTTTCAGCAAGTTGGCATCATTTTTATAGGGTAGGACAGTTCTTTGTTACAGAGACAGAACAATACTCTACTCTTCACATTATTTTAAATATTAGTTTCCTTTGTAAACAGTTTCCCTTCCCTCACCCCTTTTTGGATAATTTCATATGTAGTAGCTTTACCTTTTAGAACTTAAGACATTAGATGTGTAGCTATGTCAACAACAATCAAAGCTAACATATTTTGAGCTGGACGGTATTCTAAGCCCTTCATGATTGTTGACTATGAATCCTCAAATTGATCCTGTAAAGTAGCTAATATTATTCCCATTTGACAGATGAAAAAAAACGGAGGCACAGTGAAGTAAACTTGCCTAAGACCACACAGGAGTAAGTAGCAGTGCTGGTATTTGAACCAGACATCCTGGCTCCAGAGCCCATTCTTTTAATCAGAGAGACAGAATAGTGCTGGACTACCTGGGTAAAATCTGCCACACACCCAGCCTGAAGTTCTAAAAGAAAAAGCTAAAAAATATGGTTAAAAACTGTACATCCAACATAGTTTAACCTCTCTGCTTCGTATTTCTCATCTGAAAAATGGCATTGGAGATAATACCTCTTTTACAAGGTGAGGATTAAATGACTTAATGGGTATTAAAGGGCTTACATGGGTATTAGCTGATGCAATAGTATGATTGTTTTATTGGCATATGCATTATACATATAGCTTTGGTCTATATTTTCCATAGAGCCTAAACTTTATAAATCACTACCTAGATGAAAATTTACATCAAACTAGTGTTTTAATATGACATATGACAGTTCTAGTGTTGTTTAAGTCTTAAGTGAAGATTTAGGGCATCTTCCTGGGTTTTGGGATCTGTCCACTGTGGCTTCTGACCAGTTACATAGACATGGCTCCAGGTAACAGCCCCCTGGGACTGAACAGTGACCCACGTTGGCTGTTGGAGCTTTCTTTTCCCTCATTTGTTATGAGTCAGTAAAGAAGCAGAAGGTTTGGAAGTGCCAGCCAGTGGGAAAGGGAACCTGAGATGGCATTCTCTGATCCCCCTCTTCGGCCCCAGGGCGTGGCTCTTTGTGAGAAGTCTGTCCCAAAATTCTGGGACGGGCCACCTCGCTGACCAGCTGACCAGGTCTGTGTGTTGCAGGTGGGTCTTGGGAAGAATAAATGTCTGTATGCCCTGGAAGAGGGGATAGTCCGCTACACTAAGGAGGTCTACGTGCCTCATCCCAGAAACACGGAGGCTGTGGATCTGATCACCAGGCTGCCCAAGGGTGCTGTACTCTACAAGACTTTTGTCCACGTGGTTCCTGCCAAGCCGGAGGGCACCTTCAAACTGGTAGCTATGCTTTGATATCCTGTTTGAGGCCATCAGACAGAGACTGGAGCCCAGGTGACGGGAGATGGTGATACCAGAAGTCAAGGGTTGGGGCGACGACACGGCCTCCCAAGGAAGAGGTCTGCTTGATGGTGACTCTGCAGGAGACTCTGAAGTGACTGCTGGGAAACCCTTTGGGAGACCTGACCTGGGGCCAAAAATAAAGTGAGCCAGAGTCATGAACGCATGCTATTTAGGGACACACCTGGATGGAACTGCCTAGTGATTTGTTGGTCCTTACCCAGGTTCTCTAGTGCACACCAAGGGGGAGCCTCAAAGCAAGAAAGAACGTATCTGAGGAAATGAGAAGGGGGACTTGCTTTGGCACTGTCCTCCAGAGGGGAAGGAGGGGAGCTCGTGCTTGAGGGTGTCATTGCTACTTCCCCTCTTAGATCCCAGGAAAGGCCAGGGGCTGGGCCCTGGGAGGAGGGGTGGGGGCAGCCAGTAAAGGAAGCAACACAGTCATGTTCTTCTCCCGTAGCCACATGCAAAGGGAGCTGGGGCTGTAGCCCCAGAGATAGCCACAGGAAAGCCTCTTCCCTACCTCTCCAGGTCTAGGGCAGAGAGAGAGCTTGTGGGATGGCAGGCAGGATATGCTTCTGGGAGGCTCCGTCAGGCCTCATCTGCCCTGGACTGCCGAGGTATTTCCAGTGGTAGGGCAGAGTAGGTAACAAATGGCTTCTTCCTGCTCACCTGAAGAGCTAGGCCTACCAAGCCCACATTCTCTTCTGGTTCTTGATTTATCTCAAACGATAAACAGTAGCAAAGAATCTGGCTTCAGGAATACTCAGTGAGGGCTTAGAGTGGGCAGGGGTCAGGCCACTCTATTGTCATCCCAGCCAGGACCTTTAGAGGCTTGCCTTTGAGTGGAGGAGCCAGGAAGAAAACCTCATTTTGGATGATCATTCCTGGCTGTTGGAGGTAGGTGGTGTTGGCTACGGTCCCAGAGAGGGGCCTGTTGGGTCCAGTGGCTTCCTTTCAGGGACTCTACTCTGCCTTGAAGGCAGGCACTCCAGGGATTGAGGTCAGAGAAGCCTCCTAGTTCTGGAGTTCTGCCTTGAACATGTCATCTTGCTTTCCCAGAACATTACCCTGGATTCCTCATCTCCTGCACATCCTTGGCAGAGGTGACCTGGGATTTACTTTGGCACCATATGTGGGGGCATCAGGTACCAAGGCCCAGCTGGAGTAGTCTTTAGGCAGGGGAGATTGATGGGGGCTGTCTCCACAGGCTCAGTGTTCTCCCGTCCAGTCCCCTGGAGAAAGGGGAAGAGCCAGACAGAAGTGGTTGCTCCCTCCTACACTGTGGTGTTCCCCTGAGCAGGGCAGGTGGTTGCTTCCCGCGATGGCTGAGTAGAGCCACAGCAGGCCGGCGGAGGAGGCAGTGACCTTATGGCATCCTCATAGCTTGGTGGCAGCTGAAGAAATGGGAGAGCAAAGGTGTTAGCCACTTTCTTGCTCTCCTCCCATATATGCAACACCCTTTCTTTGGACTGTTGCTTTCTGCATCTCCCCTGGAGATGTTGGCTCCATGGAAACCCCTCTGGTTAGCCCTCCCTGGGCTGGGGTCTGCACCATCTACACAAGAAGTGAACTGGGGCCTCCACTCATATCCTTGAGTTCTCCACTAGTGGCCCTTTTCCTGACCCCAGGGCCTCTAATTGGGTATTGTGTGTTAAAATGCAGTAAGTGAAAAGGTGGGTTAGCCAGGGCACCCAGCGCTGAGAAGGCTGGACATTCACCTCTCTGCAGGCCCGGAGCCCGAAGCGTTGTGCAATCAGCTGGTGAATCTGTTGCTGCCGGTCCTTCTTTTGAACACTCTCATAGCTGGGCAGGCAAGCAGGCAGCTGGTGGCTCCTGGGCAGCCCCACACAGAATACCTCAGCCACCTGGGAGTGGCCCTGTGACCAAGAAAAGCCAAGGGAGCCAGGGAGGCATGCACCAGCGTTATCCAGCTTCGGTCTGGGTCCTCTTCCCCAGAGCAAGCCTAAGTTCGGGGTATTGCACTCCTCCCTCTCCTCCAAGAAGCCTCTCCAGTCTTCATCCCATCCTTCCCCTCCCCTGCATTCTTTTTAGTCCCCTTAACCACACTAGGTCCCTTGCCTGGCTTCACAACCCCAGCACGCACTTCTTCCTCCATCCCAGGTGGCAGGTCCAGGGGTCCTCACCTGTATCCCCTGGGACTCTCGGCTCCTTTCCACTGGCTGGACCTCGGTGTGGCATCCCATGGTGCTGAAGTAGGGAGGTGGGCAGTCCTGGGATCATGAAGCACAACTCAAGGTGAAGCTCAGGGTCAGTGTGCAAGACAGCAGATTCCAAACCCTTTTTTTCCCTCCATGCCCCTTTCTCCATCCCTTTAATCCTCTCCACCTGGGCCAAGGCACAAAGCTCAGACCCTCAGCATTTCTGGAAAGGACTAGGGTGTAAAGATAATCCACTCCTTTCTGGCCACTAGCTCATTCTGCCACCGTCTGGTAGCCAGGTCTGATGACCTTTGGTGGGGAGTCAGGGAAAACCACCTCCTGTCCCTACCCCTCCATCCTGTCTGGTGCTCAGTGTTGGGATATGGTGTCAGAGCCTGGGGGGCTGCAGCTCAGAAGATTTTGTTTCCTTTCTGTACAGGATGCCATATGGCACGCTGTCCCTGGGGAGAGGACTGACAGTGCTGTTGTTGCCACTTACCCCCTCCCCCAGAAGTCGGGGTTCTGTACTTTCCCTTGGGAGCTGGAAAAAGACCTTGTCTTCACTGAGCAGCTCCTTGCACTGAGTTATGTTTAACAATGGTCAGGGAGGGGCCTAGATGTTATTAACCCTTTCCACACTGCTCCCCTGACTCAGAGGGAACCCAGGCTGGATGCTGCAGAGAAAGATTCCAAAGGCCCTTTCCATACTGAACAATTGTTTCTCCTTGGTCAGAGGACAGGTGCCCTTTTGTCAGGATTTGGGTCAGGGTGGGGGCCATGAAGGCAAGGGGTTGGTGGGTCAGGGTGCTTACGTATTGGCTGGGACTCCGGAAGAAGTGGCAGGTGCAGAGGACCTGGCAGCACTGGGGGTCGCGCTGGTGCAGCAGCAGCAGCAGCAGCAGGATGGCCATGATGAACACCGCAGATGAGGCTGCCCTCCCCCCAGAGGCACCATCAAGGGGCAGCCTGGACCCAGCACATGCAGGCCCATTTCCTCACCAGATTGGAATTCACTCCAAAAGCTGGTGTAGGAATGACCTGCCTGGGACTGATACCAGCTTAACAAGGCAAACTGAGGTGCAGGCAGCTTCCTTTTTGCTACAGCATCAAGTCCTTGGGGCAGAGATTTGTGAGGGGGAGCAGAGTAGCCCTGTCCCTTCCCTGCCTGCAGCCCAGGGGGTGATGTGTGTAAGGGAGATTTTACAGAGACACAAAGGGAGGGGATGGAGCAGATACCCTGAGAAACAGTGGATCTGAGGAGGCAGGAGAGGACCCAAGAGCCCAGCTCAACAGCCCCTGGTGCCCAGCTCCTCTCGTTACCAAAGATTGTGGCATCATAGGACCTGGCACAGGGAAGGGACCAGAGGGATCAAAGGCCAGCCGTGCACAGCATACTTCTCAAGTCTTAGCTGGGGAGGGCTGTTGCTTGAGGTGACCCTATAGATGAAGAAGCTGGGCTTTGCCTACGGTGCCTCTGCCCCACCCCTGGGACACGGAATGGCAGTAGGTACTCACCGGTGGCCATGACTATGGCTAGGAGGCTGTTGTCCATGGTGATGTCTGCACACGGAGAAGCAGTGGCAGGGGATGCCAGGAAAGGGCATCAGCCTTGAGGGCAGCCAGCAGGGCCACAGGGCTGACCCTCCCCCCAGGTGCCACACCCCTCCCTGGGAACCCTGGCTTGGAAGAACAGCTTCATTCAGAGCAGGGGCATCTGTAAGCAGTTTTCCAGGCTCTTGGCCTCTCCTGCCTCTGTAGGCCTGGCATCTATGAGGGTCCCGCTACAACCTTCAGAGCAGGGGTTGGGAGGAACAGGCCCTGCTTCTGCTGAACCTGACAGCCAGTGGGACTCCAACTCGCTCAGATCTCCGCACTTCTCAGTTCCAGATCCCTCCCAGCTCCACTGCCCACCTCCACTTCCCATTGGCCCAGGTAACTGGGCTCTGAATGTCAATTGGCTGTCTTCTGGTCTTGGCTTCCACCTCTAACAGAACCGTGGTGTCCATGGTTGCCCTGGAAACCGGGTACGCCAGGCCATGAAATACAAAAGCCTCTGTCCAGGCTCTTCTCCTCCCTCCAAAGCAGTTATTGTGTAGCTCTGGGTGCCCAGCCTGCCTGCACCCGCTCCCTACCCCCACTCTGTGTCCTGCCTGGCCCAAATCCTGAATTTGAACCCAGGGGCCCAGCCTGGAGTGGATTTCAAAACCTCAAAAAACCCAAGCCTCCAGGCTGAGCTAACCCTACAGAAAGGTGGGGGGGTAGAGAACACTGTCTGCTAGGAACTCGGGCAGCAAAGCTGGGCTCCCACTCACCTCAGTGACCTGAACAGGGGAGAGAATGGGAGAGGAGTGCCTCCACCCACAAGCCTGCCCTCTGAACCTCTCAGGAGGAGTCCTGGGGCCTGGTCCTGGGTCCTGCAGTGCTTCGAACTCAGTGGGGCCAAGACAGGCCTGCCAGAGCAGCAGGGGTGGGGCTACGCTTCCCTGGTTCTGCCTGCCTGCTTGTTAGAAAGGCCTGAGAAGCTTTAAAAGCATACCATTGTGGGTTGCCACCTCAGACCCATTAAATCAGAATCCTCTGTCAGGATCACGACTCACTTGAGTTGAAGAATGTAAACTCAAAATGTTTACAGCAGGTGACAATAATGGCTAACTACGACCTGATCTAATATGGTGAAGGACAGGGATGCAGCAAGTGCATGTCCTACCTAAGCTCCAAAGCAGTTATTGTGTAGCTCTGGGTGCCCAGCCTGCCTGTACCCGCTCCCTACCCCCACTCTGTGTCCTGCCTGGCCCAAATCCTGAATTTGAACCCAGGGGCCCAGCCTGGAGTGGATTTCAAAACCTCAAAAAACCCAAGCCTCCAGGCTGAGCTAACCCTACAGAAAGGTGGGGGGGTAGAGAACACTGTCTGCTAGGAACTCGGGCAGCAAAGCTGGGCTCCCACTCACCTCAGTGACCTGAACAGGGGAGAGAATGGGAGAGGAGTGCCTCCACCCACAAGCCTGCCCTCTGAACCTCTCAGGAGGAGTCCTGGGGCCTGGTCCTGG